CTCCTCTCCTCTCCTCTCCACCTCTCCTCTCCTCTCCTCTCCTCTCCTCTCCTCTCCTCTCCTCTCCTCTCCCAGCCTCTCCTCTCCTCTCCCACCTCTCCTCTCCCACCTCTCCTCTCCTCTCCCAGCCTCTCCTCTCCTCTCCCAGCCTCTCCTCTCCTCTCCCACCTCTCCTCTCCTCTCCTCTCCCAGCCTCTCCTCTCCTCTCCTCTCCTCTCCTCTCCTCTCCTCTCCTCTCCTCTCCTCTCCTCTCCTCTCCTCTCCTCTCCCACGTCTCCTCTCCAGCTCCGCAGCTTGCACTGTCATGCCTGCAGGCTGGGGAGCTGCCTCCTTAGGGTCAGATGTGCTTCCCACCGGCCGGGCAGTGTCTCAGGATAGCCCACGGCCGCCCAGCGTCTTTAGCTTCCGTCCCCTGGGTAAGGTGTGGGAGGCCCGGCTCTCCTGTTTTCTTGCCCTCGCGTGGGAGGCAAGGCCAAGGGCTTCAGACCTAGGTGATCCCGGGAGCACTGCACTCAGGCTGCCCCCACCCCCACTCCGCGCCGCACCGGCCGGCGGTGCGCCTGGGAGCAAGGAGTCAAGGAGGCGGGAGCTCCGGGCGTGCGAGGCGGGTCTGGCCCTGCTCCAGGTGTGCGGATGTGCGGCCCGAGAGCCGCTGCCCTCTGCCGTCGGGTCAGGAGCACCGCGCGGGGAGTGCGGCCTGGCTCCCTCGGGCTCGGGGCTCCCCGAGGTTTGGGGGTGTGAACGAGCCGGAAGGCTTCATACTGAAACTCCGGGCTCCCAGGGCATCCTCGGCCCCCACGGACCCAGAGGGGGCAGCCCGGGAAGCTGGCCTCAGGCCGGGCAGGGGCAGGCCGTAAGGGCGGCCCGGGGAGAGGGACACACCCGGCCTAGGGAGACGGCTGCCCCCCCCCCCCCCCCCCCCGCCCAGACCCCCGCAGGCTCCCTCGGCTGCCAGCCCAGGGAAGTCACACCTGCTCCCGCTCAGCATCCTGGCACCTGGGGCCTCGGGGCAGGCGCCTGCCTGGACGGCGACATGGCGACAGGGCGACATGGTGACACGGCAGTTGCAGTGGGCTCCAGGCTGGCTCCAGGGCCACCCTTGCTGCTGCGGGGGAGCCAGGGACAGAGGGACAGAGGGATGAAGAGAGCAAGGGAGAGAGGGACAGAGGGGGAGGGAGGTGCTGGGCGTATTCAGGTGAGAATGTGGGGGCTCTGGAGAACCGAAAAACTGCTTGGACAACCTTGCAGTTTTGCAAAAAGGCACAAAACAATCAGTTCTTGGTTTTTTGTTTTTTGTTTTGTTTTTTTTTTGGTGGGGGAGATTTTAAATTTTATTTATCATTCATTCATTCATTCATTCACCGCAGGCCAATCTCCTCCCTGCCAGGCGAAGAAAAACTCAACCCACGGAACAGAACCCCTCACAGCGAGCCCTTCCCTCTCTGGGACCAATTTCCAAGCCGCACAGCGGTCCTGACAAGGTCGACGGGCTGGAGCTCTAAGCGGAGATCTTTATCTATGTGGGAAATGGGAAAATCATTTGACTGATAAAAGGAAATACGATAAAGAGCGTCTGAATTCCGGGCTGCATTCCCGGGGCCTCCTGGGCCCAGAGTGCTGCTCCAGCGGGTCTAAAAATAGCAACAGCGGCCCTCACCTTCCAGGAAGACTCCCCCCCCCCCCACCGCGGCCCCTGGCTGGCCCTGGTGGCCCTGGTGGCCCTAGTGGCCCGCCCAGCCCTGCTCGTCCGCGGGCCTGCGCTTGCCTCGCTGTGCAAGGGGGTTCCTGGCCACCCCTTCCAGGGCTGGAGGCCCAGGCTGCACCCCACAGGCTTTAAGTCCTCGGGCTAAGCCTTCCCCACCCGACCTGAAACCAGGGAGCTTAGGGACCCCCCAGAGCGGCCCCGCTCCCCGCCCCCCTGGGGATCTTGGCTCGTCCCTCTCCTCCCTCACGTCCCTCTCATCCCAGGCCGAGCCCTCCCAGTGGCTCCTGTCGCCTGGCCCGCTCCCCCCCACGCCCCACTGGTTCTGCCCCCACGTCCTGCCCCACCGGCCACCTCAGCCCCACGACGCCCTCAGCGCTTAGCTGGCCTGGAGCACCCCTCCCCACGGTCGCCTCTGCAGCAGCTCCCAGGGCCGCAGCTCCAGCTCCCCTGGGCCTCACCCTGGGCCGATCTGTCCTGCCTGCCGCCGCTTCTAGAATGCAAGTCTGGGCTTGTAACTATCATTCTGCCTAAACCACCCTCCCGGCAGCTGCCTTTGCTTTGATGCCCTATTTCAGCTTTCGGATGACTCCATACGATGAGCACCTTCCTCCCCATTTTCCAGTTGAAACGGAGATTGGCTAGCTTGGCGGGCTCGAGGCCACGTAGCTCTTAGGCCTTGCTCAAAATCAGGATCTGAACCCAGGTCTATGCCGCAAAGCCTGTGTTTTTTCAAAAGGGTGGCTAGCTCGGTCCTGGCACATGGAAGGGGGACCACTGCTGCCCCATTCACTCCTCCTCCTACCAACTTCAGTCTCCTCAGCAGGATGCAAGGGACCTTCCATCACGGCCGGCCCACGTCCCCAAAGCATCCCCTGCCCTGCCCGTGTCCTGTTGCTCCCACCACCCATCAGGCCACATGGGATCACTGGCTGCCCCCCAGACCCCCGTCCCTTCCTGACTGTGCCTTTTTGAAATCCCCTTTCCCACCACTTGGCAGGCCTGTTCTCTTTACACTTCCTCGTGTGCAAGCACCAGGCCCGAGAACACCTCCCCTGGGATGCTTCTCCAGATCCCCAAACACAGAATCCCTGGCCCCAACGTCCCTTTCGCCAACACCGCTCATTGTTTGTGTCCATCTGGACGTGGGTCACACTGGAGTGTGGTTATGCAGGCCTCGCCCCGTGCTGCTCTGCATCCTCAGTGCCTGGCATCATCCGGGGCACAGAGGCGGGTGTACAACCCTCAATCCTCACCCTTCCTGTGACTCATGCTCCATTTCGTCCCTTTTGCAAAGGTTAGAAGGTCTCCTAAGGCTGGTTTGCGTCCTCTCTGCTCCCTGGTCTTCACGCACAGCTGCACACTGATCTGCTCTTACCAGGGTCCCCAGAGCCCTGCCTGTGACCAGACCCCAGCCACGCTCTGGGCTCGCCCTCCCTGGCCCTTAGCACTGCTTAGTCTCTCCTCCCCGTGGCTTCTGGCGGGGAAGTCTGCAGTTCCCGGGCCTCTCCAGGCCCTGCCGTCCCAGCGTCCCCAGCATCCCCAGCGGACCCCCAGGAACTGAGTGCCCTGGGGCACCGTCCTTGGCTCCCTTCCCTTCCCTCTCTACGTCCCATTCCTGACTGGGCGTGTCATTTCCCAGGGTCTAAACTATTACCTCCAGCTCCAGCTCCTGGCTCCAGATCCAAATATCTAACAACCTATGTGCTTTCAGTAACCACTTAGTCGCTGCTTAGCGACCAGGGCTTTCAAAGGCTAACAGAGGTCCTCGGTCTCATCTGCCAAAACTTTCCTCCCTCAGTCCTGCTCCTTTCCGTAAAAGGCACAACATCATGGGTCCCCTTCCTGGGATCTTGGGAGCAACTTATCTAGGAAGAAAGTGCCTCAGAAGAGGGCTCCAACCTGGGAAGTCTAAATATCATGGTTTCCTACATCTGACTAGGGTTTGGAAAGCGATTCCTCAACCCGGCATCCGATGCCCACCACGATCTGGCCCCGGCCTGCCTTTCATCCCACCCCGAGACCAGAGATGGGCCAACTATGGTCCACCAGCCAAATCTGCCCCGCCATGTGCTTTTGTACAGCCTACAAGCAAAGGATGATTCTTCGTATCCTTAAATGGTTGGAAAAAATCAAGAGAAGGATGATATTTTGTGACCCATGAAAATTATATGAAATTCAACGTTCAAAGTTGTAGCGGGACACAAGCCATGTGCCTTGGTGTACTTATCATCTATGGCTGCTCTCCAGCTACAAAGTCGGGTACTTGGAACAGGGAACATATGACCTGCAAAGCCTAAAATAGTTCTTCCCTGGACTTCTACAGAAGAAGGCCCCTGACCTCTTGCTATAGTCTGAATGTTTATATCCCGCCCCCCCAAAAAAATTCATATGCGGAAATCCTAACCCCCACTGTGATGATATTAGAAAATGGGGCCTTTGGGAGGTAATCAGGTCATGAGAGCAGAGCCCCCATGAACAGAATTAATGCCTTTTTTTTTTTTTTTGTTATTGTTGTTCTAAAACCCGGGATTAGTATCTTTATAAGGGACTTCAGAGAAGATCTCTCAGCCCTTCTGCCCTGTGTGGACACAGTGGGAAAAGCCCGTTTCTGAATTAGGAAGCTGGCTTTCATCAGTCACAGAATCTGCTAGTGGCTTGATCTTGAATTTTCCCATCACCAGAACCGTGAGAAACACATTTCTGTTGCTTAGAAGCTCCCTCGACTGTGGAACTTTGTTCCAGCAGCCCCAGTGGATTATACCCCGGTTCTGGATGAATCAAACCATTCCCCTTCTCTTAAACATACCTTGCACTTTCCAATTTTGTCCTCATGGCTCTCTATTCTCTATCAAATCCTACCTGCCCTCAGGCCTTTCCAATAGAGCGTCTTCTAGAAGCTTCCATGTCTACTTCACCCGGTGACTTCTCACTCTGCTCTTGACCCCTCCAGTAATACAGTTAGTGTACCTCACACCCAGGGCCTTGTCCTCACGGTTAGCTTTTCTGGAGTGCAGGTCATGTGTCCTCTCCAGCCTGGGAGGAAGGTGAGGACGGGTCAGTGTGTCCTCATCTTGCCTCCGGGGCCCAGGGCACGGCCTGGCAACACTGTCGGCGGTTAGAAGGTAGGTATCGGTGTCGACATGCTCCTTCCTGATGGTCTCATCTACCTGACAACCTGTCTCCAAGCCTGTGAAAGGGCCGTGTATCTACTTAGGTGTTCAATTTGAAGGAAGATGCAGATTTTTTTTTTAAGATTTATTTATTTATTCATTCAGAGAGAGCGAGAGGTAGAGACACAGGCAGAGGGAGAAGCAGGCTCCATGCGGGGATCCCGACGTGGGACTCGATCCCAGGTCTCCAGGATCACGCCCTGGGCCAAAGGCAGGCGCCAAACCACTGAGCCACCCAGGGATCCCCGGAAGATGCAGATTTTATCTAAGTTCCCTCTAGTGTATCTCCAGGAGGTGCTGAAGACAGGGTAGTGGCCTGGGCATGGGTGCTGGGGGGCGGGGTGCAGGTGGGGGCAGCAGGGGCACAGGCCCCGGCTCCAGTCCTGGCACCCTCGTCTACCCTCCATTCCACTATTCCACCTCTCCTTCATCCGCGTCATCGTCTAGAAAATAGGGTGAAAATTGGACATCTGCGAGAACAGAGAATTCCCCGAAATCCTTTTTAGCTCCCAAACATAAGGATCCTGTTTCTCCTAAAAGCCGTCAGTGCGCCTCGCATGCCAGGAGACACGGCCGTGCCAGCCTGAGCCAGGCCCACTCGGGCACCAGACATCCTTGTCACCATTTGGAGGCCAGGAGAGGACACCAAAGAGGAGTCGCCTGAGCAGGGCCGGTGGTCATGGTCCCGGGAGTGCCGGTCATGCCATGGCCTGTGTGAGTGGGGCTCCGTGGCATCCTTACACATCAGCGAATCTCCAGCTTTTGTGTTTGACTCACCTGCGGATCTTGTAAAAACAGATTTTGATTCGGCCCGTCTGAGATGGGGCCCAAATTCTGTATTTTATTTTATTTTATTTTATTTTTCAAATTCTGTATTTTAAACCAGCTCCCAAGTGTTATGGATGCTGCTGGTCTCTGGACCCCATTGCGAACAGCAAGGTAGTGCACAACCTGTGCAGCTGTCTATGGCAGCCCTGACATGCACGCGACTCAAAGGCAGCAGAGCTGGGACTCAAATTTAGGTTTTTGGCTCAAAGTACAGTGTTCTCTACGCTAAGCCAGGGCTTTGCAACAAAAACCTCCACTCGGGGCCCATGGTCCCTGGGATCCGGAGAAAGGCCGATCAGGAAAGACTTACGAAAGAGAAACTGGATCAGGAGCCTCGTCCAGCCAGGGGTCTGAGCAGGCACAGGGGGATGTGTGCGCAGGGGTGGGGGCGCCGCACGGGCGGCCCCCTGGCCTGTGGGGCCGGGAGGAATGAGAGGACAGCAGCTGCGCCCCTGGTTCCGCAGGCCCCGGGCAGCGGGTGCGCGGGCCCCCTTCCACGGCCCAGGTTGCGCGGCCGGCGCCTGCCTGAGAGAGCCCGACACCCTGCAGGGGCCTGCGCTTGGTGCTGCCGGCCTCCCGGGGATCTGCGGGGGGCTCGGGGGCTCCCACGGGAGTCTCGGCTGGGGGGGCAACAGGCCGTGATACCAGGGGGTCCTGGGATCCGCAGGAGCTGCCAGCGCGTCGCTGCAGGGTGCCAGGAGGCAGGCGCGAGGGAGGGCTTCTGCGCGGGCACTTGGCCGGGCGGCTCGGCTGGCAGCTCGGCGCTGGGCGTCCAGGCGGGCCCGGGAGCGGCACCCTGCGGGTGGCATGAGGGCGGCAGACTGGCTGCCCCTCGCCGGCCTCCCCTGAGCCTGCAGCCCTGGGAGCCTCCCTGAAGCCAGTTGCGCGAGGCCGGGGCGCTCGTGGGGGTGCCCGGCACGGTGCGTGGACGCCGAGGCTTGGGCTGTGTGCGCCGGGCCCCAGGGCAGCGAGCGAGGCCCGGGCTGCGGCGCTTGCTCCTGGGCTTGGTCCTTTCCGCCGAGGCCACGGCTGCAAGAGCCTTCCAGGGTGACACCTCCAGGCAGGGATGGGGTTGGGCCTGGCCACCGTTGTGCATGGCCCCGGGGGTGCACCCCTGGTTCCGCACCCGGGGGGCCAGAGGCGCACCGCACCCCAACAGGCGCTGTTCCAGAAACTCAGGACGGCGACCCGGGATTCACCAGGCAGACAAACACGGCGGGAATAGGGATAGCGGGCAGGCTGCCGTGGGCCCCGGGGCCCGTGGGGTCAGGGCCACAGCCGTGGAGGACGCACGGGGACCGAGGCTCAGGGGCGGAACGGGGGGTGCACAGAAGCTAACTCACTCCCCGGACACCTCTTCTGCAATGAAAAGCCAATGCACCTGTCCCCCAGCGTCTGCCAGCTGCCAGAATAAATGTCCCATTTCTTCAACCATCTTGCTAGATTTAGCCAAAAAAAAAAAAAAAAAGAATTAGTTAATTAAATACAGGACACCCAGTTAAGTTTGAACTTCAGATAAGCAGTAATTTTTTAGTGTAAGTACATCCTATGCAATAGTGGGGACAAGCTTACACTGACAACATTCTCCGTTGCTTTCTGAGCTTCAAACCTAACTGGGGGTCCTGCATTTTCTCCAGGAGCCCCATGCACACCCCGCCGCCCGTCCTGGCTTCACCCTCTCTGCAAAGGGCCGGAGGAGGCCCAGGGACGCCCCAGGGGCCCGAGTGTGGTTCAGGGTGTCTTCACAGGGCAGCCCCGAGCCCCACCTGCAGGATCCCCTCCCTGGGCGCCAGGGGCCGGGGTGCGGGCAGGGCGGCAGGTCCTCTCCCCGGCTCTCCGGGCGGCGACGGCTTTTCTTCCCGGCTGCCCTCGGGGCTCCTGGCGCTTGCCTTCCGCCGCCGCTCAGCCGCTTGGCCTTTGTTGCCGAACATCTAGAACAGTGTATTGTCCTCCTCCCCCCAGAGCGGGAGCTGGGGGCAGCGGGCCAAGGCTTTGAGAAGGGCCAGTGAGCCAGGGCTACACGTGGCCGGCCCCCATGGGGGTGGACTCCACACCTGCACATGGGTGTGCCCGCTGCACGCGCCGCCGGGGGTTCGCACACGCACACGGAGCGCTCTGCTGAAGCCGAGGCGTTGCAGACATTCCGGGCCGGCGTGTGTTCGTGCACACTGTGCGGTGGGAAGCCGGGGGCAGCTCCCCTCCAGGCTGCAGAGCCCCGGCCCCCCACCCCGGGGGCACAGCAGCCAGGCCGGCAGGTGCACGGGCCCCTCCAGAAGGCCGCCTTCCCGGGGCCGCGGCCACCACGGCTGAGCGAGGGGTGGCGGACGGGATTAACGGGGCGCCCTCTGCGGAGAAGACACCAGCGGGAGGAGGAGGATGTGGGCTCCCGCTGGCAGATGGGGGGTGGGCCAGGAACTTCGGGGCGCCCAAAGCTCCCCTTGGAGTCTGAGCTCCCTTGGGAGAAAGCTTCCCGAGAAACGCAGCAGGTGCCCCTGGTGCTGCTGCCCACCCACCTCCAGTCCTCTGTGTCTCACCGTGTCACCGCAGGAACAAGACTGTCATGCGGCAGCAGGTGCCAGCCCAGCCCGGGGCCCACCGCCCTGTCTCATGGCGCCGGCCCTCCGCTACCCAGGTGCCGGCTGGTGACCCCACAAAAGCCAAGGCTGCCCCAGGCCCTCCCGCGGCCCTACCCCGCACCCCTACCCCACACCCTTACCCCACACCTCTACCTTGCAGCCCTACCCTGCACACCTACCCCACACCCCTACCCCGCACACCTACCCCACACCCCTACCCCGCGGCCCTACCTTGCACCCCTAGCCTGCATCCATACCCCACACTCCTACCCCGCGGCCCTACTCTGCGGCCCTACCCCATGACCCTACCCCACACCCCTCCCCGCACCTCTACCCCACATCCCTACCCTGCACCCCTAGCCTGCATCCCTACCCCACATTCCTACCTCGCACCTCCACCCCGCACCCCTACCCCACGGCCCTCAGTAAAGCTGCCTGGCCCTTTACTCAGGGGAGACCTGACCGTGGGATCTGAAGGCATGGCCGAGCCGCTCACTGGCAGCGTCACCTTGGAGCTCGCTGGCCGTCCCCCCCACCCACATCCTCCCGACTCTGAGGTCCTGTGACTGGCTCTGCGCTGCAGTCCCGGGGCGGGGTAGCACCAGCCAGGATGGGCCAGGCCCGGTCTAGGCCTTGGCACCAGCAAAGCAGGGCACACCCAAATGAGAAGTTTGGGAAGAATTATTCATTTCAAAAAAATCATTTTAGAGTCATAATGGAAAAACTCAGACCAGGGGAGGACTTCCTTACTCTATTATTTTGTGGTTTAGGAGCAGCTTTATTTTAATGTGAACATAGGAAGTGGGGGGGAGGGGCACCTTTATTCTTTTCCAGACTTCAGGCCCTAAGTAAAGCTCTCCATTGCCCCCTGCCCAGCCTGGCTCCCGGGCCCGCAGGGAGGAGCCGCTTCCCGGCCTCTAGGCCCCTTTGTCCACTTGGCACAGGTGAACCGTGTGCCTTCTCTCTGCCAGCCTGAGCCCTGCACAGGGATATGGCAATGTCCACTGCCCAATCCGCTCTTGGGGGGATGGGTATGCACGCCGACATGCCTTGTAGACCGTAAAGGGCTGGGTGCCTCACCTCCAAGAGCCAGAGGCTCTCTTCCTCTCCGCCTCCTTTGACAGGAAGCCATCCCATGACCCCGCAGGATTACTCCCTCCTCCTCCACGTGGGCCCCCTGCGGCCCGGCCCTCTCTGGAGTGCGACAGCTGGAGGCGCCCAGGGTAGGGATCGGTCTCAGCCCCAGCATCCAAGCCAGGCCCACCCAGGCAGTAGCCACTCAGGACGCCTCTGTTCAAGTATTCTGAACTGGGTTGACCTCGGTCACCAGAGAGCCGCAGGGGGCAGATTATTCTAAGAGAGGATGGGGTTATGTGCACAAGTGGGAGAAGCAGGGAGGCACATTAGCCTCCGCCCTCACCAGGTGTCCCTGGCTGGAGGGCGATCCGGGCACTTGTTGGCCTGGTGCCTTGCCTAAGCCATGGCTTCTTTCCGACAGAGATGCTGGTCCCCTTCTTGGGTGTCCCTGTGTCGGTGGAAAGGCTGGAACACACGTCCTAGTCCAGGGGCTGTGAGGAAGGGAAACCTCTGAATCATTCGGTAAAGTGCAACTTAAACGTGCTGCGGGTAAGGAGGTTGCTCTTAGATAAGAGGCTCCACGTCAGTTATGAATCTGTTCCAATTCCCAGCCTGACCTCCCTCGACGGCCCTGCCGGGGTTCCCTGGGCTGGCGTGGGGAGGCCCAAGGGCCCGCATCATGCCTGAGCCTGTCAGGTGCCGGGTGTCTGGGTTGTGATCAAGTGCTGGGCAGGCCCCGGCGTGGGGTCGCTGCTTCCAGCAGCTGCCAGCAGGCGCCTTGCCTTACAAGGGTAGAGCAGGAGCAGACTGGCTCCTTGTGTGGTCCGGTGTGCCTCCCTGCACCAGGGCCTGCCAGGAGCTTCCCGGGAGCACTGAGGCAGAGGCACAAGTCACAGCCCCAGGGGCCTAGAGGCAAGTCTGAGCTTTCAGCCAGTTACCTGGGGCAGAAATGCGGAGAAGCTGCCCACACACTCTCCAAAAGCCAGGACTGCCCTTGCTTCCTTCCTTCCTTCCTGAATAATGGAGTAATTCACTCCAAAGCCATCAGGACTCCTTCCCCTTCCCCAGTACATGTTGAGGCAGCAAGAAGGTTGGCGTGGAGCAGGGAGACGGCCAAGAAGTGGTGGCCAAGAGATCAGGAGATTGGCTACTTACAAAGGGATGGGGCATTGAGAATGGTGGGAGCCAGATTTCTCACTGAGAAAAAAGAAAAAAGAAAAAAGAAAAAGAAAAAAGAAAATAAGATATACAAATGGTCAATAAGCACATGAAAAAATGTTCAACATCAGTAATCATTAGGGAAATGCAAATCACAACCACAATGAGATAACCACCTTACATGAATTACGATGACTATCAGCAAAAAAAAAAAAAAAAAAAAAAAAACAGGAAATAACAAATGTTGGCAAGGATGTGAAGAAATTGGAGCTTTTATTCACTGTTGGTGTTGTCACTATGGAGAGCAGCATGGTGGTTCCTCAAAAAATTGAAAATAGAGTTATTATATGATCCAGCATTTTCACTTCTGGGTAGATACCCAAACGCATTAAAAGCAGAACTCGAAGAAGCTCAGAGTATGCTCGTGTTCATAGCAACACTGTTCACAACAGCCAAAAGGTGGAAGCAACCCCAGTGGCCATCAATGGAAAAATGAGGCCTCTACATATAATTGGATATTATTCAGCCTAAAAAAGACACAAGCTATAACGTGGATAAACCTCAAAGATGTTATGCTAAGTGAAATAGGTTAGTCACAAAAGGACAAACACTGAGTGACTTCACTTATGCGAGGTCAAATTCATAGACACAGAAAGTAGAATGGTGGTTGCCAAGGGACCGAGCGAGTGATAAATAGGGAATTATTGTTTAACGGGTACGGAGCTTCAATTTTATAAGGGAATGAATGGTGGTGATAGTATCACAACAATGCGAATGCCCTCGATGCCACCCAAACTGCATACTGAAATGTTTAAGATGATAAATTTTGTGTTATGTGTATTTTATTACAATTAAAAATAGGTTTTTAAAGGGCACAGACGTCAAGTCGAAAGCCTTCTGATGGCCAAATCTGGGACAATCTAAGCATCGAAATAAGTAGTGATAGAATCCATGAAGTGATAGAATCCATATTAACATAAAAAAGTAAATAAATACAGGCACGGGGATCCCTGGGTGGCTCAGTGGTTTAGCGCCTGCCTTTGACCCAGGGCGGGATCCTGGAGTCCTGGGATCGAGTCCCACGTCAGTCTCCCGGCATGGGCCTGCTTCTCCCTCCTCCTGTGTCTCTGCCTCTCTATGTCTATCATAAATAATCTTTAAAATAAAAAATGACTTTAAAAAAATAAAAATAAAAAATAAATACAGGCACCTGGCTGACTCAGTTGATGGAGTGTGTGACTCTTGATCTCGGGTTGTGAGTTCGAGCCCCATGTTGGGTGTAGAGGGTACTTAAAAATAACATCTTTTTTTAAAAAAAGAAGTAAATGAATAGACACATGGGAAAAACAGAAAGCCCTTCCTTAGAATAGAATGCCGACTGAAAAATAGGGACGAGGTCATGGAATCTGAAAGGCACTAGTTTGCAATCATTGCAGAAATATTTGATTCAGGGAAGAATCACCAATGGATGCTGAGGTTTCCATGAGGAAGAGGTTATTTACACAATCTCGAACTCTCTCCTCCTCGCAAAATATTAATTATTTATAAATTGGTAAGTGCATTAAACTTCTTAATTAACAGGGAAGAAGCCTGGCAGACAGCATCCTGGCCACGTGTTACGAGCTAACATGCCCGGCAAGGGACAGAAGGACTGTGCATGAGACATTGGGGGGCATGGGAAGCACACAGCGTCCCCCTGGGGCTATTCCCGCCGAAAGTGAGCAACCTCAGATAGACTCAGGTTGGGGCACATTCTACAAAACCACCAGACTGTAATCTTCACAAGCGTCAGAGTCATGAAAGTGAAGGTCGAGGAGCTGTGCCAGCCTGCGGGAGGCTAAGGAGGCTGGACAACTAAGTCCAACAGGTGAGCGTGATTGGGCCCTTTGGCTATGAAGGGCCTCATTGGGGTCATTGGGGAGATTGAACTGGGCCCATTGATTAGCCAGTAGTAGTAGCAGCACCCGGACTGCCCTGGTTGTAACGGGATTTCCGTGAGAGTCTATCTGCCATGACTTATTCTCCAAAGGCTCCAAAACCATTTCTTTCTTTCTTTCTACCACTGCGTCCACTGTGTGTCCCGCTTCTGGGGTGA